CCCAACTGGCACAGTTAAAGCCCCAGTCAGAGTAGGAGAAATCTAACAGTGTCTAACTCTGCAAGGTGTTTTCCGGATGGGTTTTGAAAAGGATGTTGATTCTATTGTAAAAAGATTTTAAATAATATCACCTTATTTGAGCATATGTTGTTAATAGGGTGTCAGGTTGTTTGCCAATAAAAATATCTTCAGCTAATGTTGGAACTACAGGATTATACTGTAGTCTGATTCTGTCATTTAGCAAATTAAGATGGCTCTTTGGCTCAGTTGTTAATTTGGCTGCAAAATCTTTGGGTTGCAGGGCATGTATTAGCCAAAGTTGATAGCAGCGTGGGCGACATGATTTGGTTGAAGCAATGTCTTACTTGTAAGACTTGGACCTCTGGAAATCAACGGTCAACAGAATAGTGTGCAGCTGCAGTTGAATGACTTTTTGTTGTTCAGTGTTGGAGGGGAGACCTTCTCCAGTACCCTGGGATCTGGTAGGAGATAAGAGAGACCATCTCTTCTGGAAGGTGGAATATGCAAATAGGCCCAGGATTAGCTCCATCCTATATTAAGTAGGCCTCAGTAGCCACGCTGAACTTGTGGTGCACTGCTTCCATGACCAAAAACATGACAGGAAGCTGAATATTGAGAGTCATAGGCTCAGGGTCTGTAGGAACCTGTTATTCCCAGATCACAGTAGGTATTTTGTCAGTGTATAGCTTGGGGCCAAGAGGGAAAGTTTTTTGCATCACAGCCTTTGAGAATTCATGACCATCAAAGATGGTCCAAGAGAATCCAGGAGGCATGAAAGGTTGCTGAAGCCCCTACAGTAAACAAGTCTCTGGGGGGCACAAGGCCCATGCCTATTGATTTGGCAGACTCTGGAGCATTTTTAAAAATATTTTATTTATTTACTTGTCAGGCAGAGCCACAGACAGTGTGAGAGAGAGAGAAGCAGAGAGAGGTCTTCCTTTGCCGTTGGTTCACTCCCTAAGTGGCTGCAATGGCCGGAGCTGTGCTGACCTGAAGCCAGGAGCCAGGTGCCTCCCCTTGGTCTCCCACACGGGTGAAGGGAGCCAAGCACCTGAGCCATCCTCCACTGCCTTCCCAGGCCACAGCAGAGAGCTGGACCAGAAGAGGAGAAACCAGGACTGGAACCAGTGCTCATATGGGATGCTGACACTGCAGGCAGTGGCTTTACCCACTACGCCATAGTGCCAGAAGGTGGGCTCATTTCTAAAATAAGTCCAATAAGATTAATCAAAATTTTAAAATAATGACACCCAATTCTAAAGCATAGCTATTATGCTTGTATCTTCTTCGTGAGCATGGATATCATCATTGTGACATCATATGTATGCCCCTGGTGAAAGGTAGGTGCAGTTCAAATCTTTGCAGAGTGCCTAATAGATGGCAAAGCTGTTGAGATACCCAAGGTGTACCCTAGGCCCCTGCACCCAAGTGGGAGACATAGAAGAACTCCTGGCTCCTGGCTTTGGATCATCTCAGCTCCAGCCATTGAGGCCATTTGGGGAGTGAACCAGCAGATGGAAGACCTCTCTCTCCCTGTGTCTTCCTCTGCCTCTCTGTAACTCTGCTTTTCAAATAAAAAAACAGTAAATCTTGGGGTCTGCACTGTGATGCAGTATGTTAATCCTCTGCCTGTGGCACTGGCATCCCATATGTGCTCTGGTTCAAGTCCTAGCTTCTTCTCTTCTGATCTAGCTCTCTACTGTGGCCTGGGAAAGCAGTAGAGGATGGACCAAGTGCTTGGGCCCCTGCACCCACGTGGGAGACCCAGAAGAAGCTTCTGGCTTCAGGTTGGCTCAGCTCTGGCCAATTGGGGAGTGAACCATTGGATAGAAGGCCTTTCTCTCTGTCTCTCCCTCTCACTGTAACACTACCTCTCAAATAAATAAATAAAATATTTAATAAATAAATAAATCTTTTAAAAAAAGATGCAATGGATGGCATACAGCTGTAAGAATGTCGGATCCAACATCAGGTACAGCTTATTTCCATCTTTAAGTACAGGCAAAATTGGGCTGCCAAAGTAGGAGGAGTGGCAATAATCGCTCCTTTGTTAATTGGGGCCAATATAACACGTTTCAATTGTTGGAGGCCTTATTTTAACTTACATTGGACCATATTAATTACTTTAGTTAAGGGTCTGTCAAATCCCAATTTAATCAGCTGATCTGTAACTGCCTAAAACCAATTTAATTTTAATTTACTTCTCATTGTTGGAGCAGTTCTTCTCTATTTTTAGGATTCTCATGATTATGGGTAATTTGGCAAAATTATAGTTAAGGTAAGGTATAGCAAATACATAAATTATAGTTAAAGTGAGGTATAGGAAATACATTTTCTTCTACGTTACATTTAGTAACTTTCCTGAGAGTATAAATTTCAGGGATCCCCAGGTATTGTGATTTGACACACATTGTTGATTACAAAGCTTCATAAATGGTCCATTTCAGTGGATATTAATGTTAATTTAGATTTTAGTTAGAAAAACAAAAGTGTTTACAGTAGAAACACACAAGCTGATCAGTGCCACTGTAATCATTTTCATTATATAATTTTAAAGTGAATTTTAGATTTCCAGTTGGATAAAATTATGCATACATATGTATATAATCCATTCATTTTCTTATTTTCCTCCTCCCATATCTAGGTTCTTGTGTGGAAGTTTTCCATTTTATTCCTTATCTTTATTTCCTTTTTTCTCTCTTTTTCTGTTTTAGAGTTTTATCCCCAAGAAACCATAGTTTTTAATTTCTTTGTTAGATTAACTTCTAAGTGTTCAAATGAGTGCAAGTGTCATATGCTACAGGAAAATGAGGCAGAGATGGGGCACATTAATTCACCAGGTTTGCCATAACAAAGTACAACTGATGGATGGCTTAAATCACAGAAATGTATTGCTCATAGTTCTAGAGGTTAGAAGTCCAAGATCGGCCGGCGCCATGGCTCAATAGGCTAATCCTCCACCTTGCGGCACCGGCACACCAGGTTCTAGTCCTGGTCGGGGCGCCGAATTCTGTCCCGGTTGCCCCTCTTCCAGGCCAGCTCTCTGCTGTGGCCAGGGAGTGCAGTGGAGGATGGCCCAAGTCCTTGGGCCTTGCACCCGCATGGGAAACCAGGAAAAGCACTGGCTCCTGGCTTCAGATCAGCACGATGCGCTGGCCGCAGCGCACCGGCCGCGGCGGCCATTGGAGGGTGAACCAGCGGCAAAGGAAGACCTTTCTCTCTGTCTCTCTCTCACTGTCCACTCTGCCTGTCAAAAATAAAAAATAAATAAATAAATAAATAAATAAAAAAATAAATAAAAAAAAGAAGTCCAAGATCAAGGTGTTAGCAAGTTTGGTTCCTCCTGAAACCACTCTCCCTGGCTTCTAGACAGCTACTATCTTGCTGTGTTCTGACATGGTGTTTCCTCTGTCAGTGGACGTAGGATATCCTCTGATCTAATCACCTCCTAAAAGGCCTTATCCCCCAAATACAGTTATGTCGGTGGTTAGACCTTCAACATACAAATTTTTGGGAGACGCAATTCTGTCCACAGCATGGGAAAGGGGCTTACTGCTCTCCTTATAGGCAGCCATGTTAGGCAAAGCCTTCATTTTTGAAATGCGAGTTAGGAGTCCTCATAGTACTGTTTTCAATATTCTTTTCTACATGGGAATATGCATGCACACATTTACATGCATGCTCACACACACACACACATACATACAAACACAAGCACCTGTATATACATACAAGAGCCAGAATGGAAAACTATGATGGTAGTATACAGGTAAAATTAACACAATAATCCATAAGGTAGTATATTAGGAAATAATCAAAATAATGAGAAGTAGAAAGGGTGATTTCTAAATTTCAAAGTAGTATTTTGAAACAAATTCTGAATTTACATAGGAGTGTGTATGATGTCCACTATTTATTGTCCCTAAATGATGAATACAGGATTATTAGAAACAAAATTAAAAAAAAAAACTCACCTTATATGAGTACAGATCAGTCAACATGAGGAATATTTTCATAAAGATTTTTTCAAATTTTAAGTTAATGTTACTCAAAACTAGTAGTTAGGATGATGTGATGTATATTCTCAAGCCATAAGCCTACTATTATTGTAGTGAAATTTTCATTTAATGCTTATTTTATCTTCTCAACATTATCTACTAAAGTAACAACAGAGTAAATCATTTTGGGTTTTCCAGCTCCCTGATAACCTTTTATAATATCCAGCACTTAAAAAATTATTATCAAATCTTACAATTTTTTTTACCAAAGGGAATGCCAATTATAGGATTTAAATGATAATGACACAGGTCATCTTAGTATCTGTAAAGCTAACAAAACATATGACTAACTATCACAGGATACCAACAACTGATGTGTTTAATTTTTTGGCTAGCTATGTAGCAATTATTCATAAGCCATTGCACATACAAGCATTAAAGTTATATGACTCCGGCTGGCGCCGTGGCTCAATAGGCTAATCCTCCGCCTTGCAGTGCCGGCACACCGGGTTCTAGTCCCGGTCGGGGCGCCGGATTCTGTCCCGGTTGCCCCTCTTCCAGGCCAGCTCTCTGCTGTGGCCCGGGAGGGCAGTGGAGGATGGCCCAAGTGCTTGGGCCCTGCACCCCATGGGAGACCAGGAGAAGCACCTGGCTCCTGCCTTCGGATCAGTGTGATGCACTGGCTGCACCGCGCTGGCCGCGGCGGCCATTGGAGGGTGAACCAACGGCAAAAGAAAGATCTTTCTCTCTCTCTCTCACTGTCCACTCTGCCTGTCAAAAAAAAAAAAAAAGTTATATGACTCCTAGAGAGATTTCTAGCATGACAGCATGAGTAGCTCTATGAACCCCTATCTCGGTAAACTTGGTGAAATTTTTTTTAAAGATTTATTTATTTGAAAAGCGGAGTTACAGAGAGAGAGGAAGTGGCAGAGAGATCTTCCATCCTCTGTTCGCTCCCCAACTGGCTGCAACAGCTGGGGCTAGGCTAAGCTAAGTCAAGAGCCAGGAGCTTCATCTTGGTCTCCCATGTGGATGGCAGGGGCCTAAGCACAGGGATCATCTTCTGCTGTTTTCCCAGGCCATTAGCAGGGAGTCTGATCAAAAGTGGAGCAGCCGGGACTCAAACTGGCATCTATAAAGGGATGCTGGCAATGCAGGTAGCTGCTTAACCTGCTGCCCCTGAAAATTATTTAAAAACAAAACAAAAAGCAAAAATACTTAGTCTCAAAGGTGGTCTCAAGGATATATAGGAAATGAAATATTTTCTGAGAAAAATCCACTGAGATTCAGTAAAAGTGTAGGATTTCAGTGATACGTGAATCCAGACCTGCCCCCTCCCCCCACTTTCCCAACACAGTATAATGGAAACTTAATTCCACACAGGTACAGTCAAGAAATTAGGGCTCCCGCTCCTGCCAGCTGCTAGTTGGGGGTCTAACATCCATGATGTGGTTAGACATTGTCATTTTCTCTTCTTGCCCAGATTACATTTTTCTAGGACTACGTTCTGAGCAAATTCAGTTGAGAGGTAGGGATCATGAGGAAAGGTGACATTAATCTTATGTGTATGCCTTTTAAAAAGAATATATTAATGAATTAAATTCGTACAAAACATGATCAGAAGTCGCAGGTACTTGACCACCGATTTTCATTAGTGATGAGCAGTAGGATAGTTTTCCCAGCTATAGGATATGACCCCCTGAAGGCAAGAGCCAGGAGCTCAATCTGGGTCTCCCACGAGGGAGGCAGGTACCCAAATCATCACCTACTGCCTTCAGGGTGCATATTAGCAGGAATCTGGAATCAAGAGCAAAGGCAGGACTCAAACCCAGGCACTCTGATAGGGGATGCAGGCGTCCAAACAGCATCTTATTCACGATGCCAAAAACATCAAGAATCTTTTTAAAAATGCAAGAAGTCAGTTTTCCGTAGGAGTATCAGTTTCGTGCTAAGTATTTTAAACATAGTCATTTAGGAAGCATCTGTAATAAGTAAACGTGGGTCTGTAAACAATATCAAGATCGGAACTTAAAAAAAAAAAAATAAGCTAGTGACAATTATCAAAAACTCCACCCAGAGGTCTCATAGCATAGTTCTTTCCAACGTGGATTTTTCAAACCAGGAATTAATAAACAGCCGGAATTCGATGTGGTTGTCACACGGGCAGAGATCAGTTCTCCCGTTTCACATCTGGTCTCCAGACAGCCACAGCTGAGGCTGACCACCCCAGGAAACACACAAATCACTCTCCCTGTTTCCTAACAAAGGGGCGCCAGGGATTGTGGGAAATGTAGTCTCGCCTTCCATGACATCACCAGCTCAGGACTGTGGGAAGGCTCCTCTGGGTTCCTTCTGCGCTTGTGCTGCTCCACCCACTCCCACCATCTTCCTCTGACAAATTCCGGATGCTGCGGCGCTGCACACGCTGCTTTGCTGGCACCGAGCTTGGGCTTTGTGTCCTTGACGATCGGTACGAGGGTGCAAGAGGAGCTCCACAGCCCGCCGGAAGTCTTGGGGAGCGGCCAGAACGGGTGTCTTACTTGGTGGGAATAGGAAAGTTGGTGAGTCTCAGGCAGGGGGACGTGACAGGCAGATGTGTGCCGCGGACCGGGTAGGGTCTGGGAGGGTGTCACTAGCGGCAGGGTACTCGGGTTCCGAGCTGAGGAAGGAGTGACTCATACTGATTTCAGTGCTCACTTTTGTCAGGAGATGGTGCACCGCCAGAAAGCGGGCCTTGTGTGTGCCGCCCGGGGTGCAGAGTCTGTTTCCAGAGGCTCCGCTAATGGGGTGATCTGTTTAAGATGGCGGCAGGCTGGGGGTGTCCACGTTCCAGCTCTGACACGTAGGGATCCTGTGGGTGACCTGTATGCCGTCAGTTTACCCATCTGCTTAGTGAATGTCGCCAGGATCCCCGAGAAATCATGTTGGTGTGTGTACAGATGGAGTCTCACTGTGGCAGTTGCCATTTGCGGCGTTTCGTGGCGTCTGTCCAGCAAGTGAAGTTTCTGGTCCCTTTCCAGTTTCCAGTGACAGTGAGTTCCATGAGGGAGAGCGGGGTGGTGGATGATTGGTCCATTTCCATTGGAACATTGTCCTTATTCTGTGTGCGGAAGGAGCTCCATAACAGGAATTCCACCTGAGTGAACGCCCCTCTGCCCCACACCCTCTTCCTAGTGCTTCACAGAAGCGAGAGTCCCAGAAAGGTGATGGCACACGCAATTACCGATCCTACCCTGATTAGGACATGAGTGGTACTACCCTGTGTCATCCGTACTCAGAGACTGAGTAATATTGCAAAGTTTGTACCAACTTTCAGAAGGGAGAGAGAGTGGGATGACGAGGAAGGGCAAGGGTCCTAGGAAGCATTCTTATTAGAGCGGTCCTGAGGGTGTGGCCTTGAGTGAGGGATAACCTTTAACATCTGAGAATCTGTCTGCCTTGTTCTCTAACACTCTGATTGCTTCATTCTGCCCTCACTATTTCCAGAATTGGCCCTCTCCCAAACCTAGTCTGTCACCACATTTGGTGTCTAGAGATATGCTAATGCTCCCTCCATCTCTAACCTGATAGTTCTTTTTGGAAGGATAGGAGTGAGGTGCTTCTGCCTGATAAAAAGATGAGATAAATTAGGCTCCAGGAGATAAGCGAGTTGACAAGTTTCACATAGTTTGCAGATGTCAGGCCACTGTAACATTTTGTCTGTTCTTTAGTTTTCCATAATTAGTTCAAAACTCATGGTTGTTTTGAGATCAATTTAAGGAATTGCAGTCAGCATAGAACATGTTTTAGAAGACTTTGTCTTGAATATACCTGTCCCTTTTCCTCACTTTCTTTGGATTGTGAGAGCTCAAAAGGTTTATAATTACTGGTTTTTCTCATTTAATGTTAGTGGGAAAGTCATTCTACTTGTATCATTTTCTGTTGTTAAAAATCATAAATGCTATAGCATATTACTATGGGCCTATTTTCTGTTATTTTTAAAAATGCAAAATTCAATTGAATCACACTTTTACTGCTAGTTTCTTAAAATATAAATAAAACAATATAATTTCACCTATAAATAAAAATATGAAACATAGGCCTATGAGTTCCAGTTTTTTTTGTGTGACTCACATGGCCTCTCTGCCAACAGCCACGCTGAGATCCATCTGGTTGACATTTATCATGTTAATGAAAGCCTCTACATGTGATTGTGAAGTTCTGGCTATTGTAGTTGGCTTGTGATTCAATTCTCTTTCCCTTCTTATCCAGTATCAGCATTTGATGTGTAACAAATCTCAAAAAGCTTACTGGGTTAAAAAATAACCACTTTATTTGTAATTACCAGTTTGCATTTTGGAGTGTGCTAGCTGGGCAAGTTCTGTTGTGCTGCCTGGACTTACAAGTGAGGGTTTAGTCATCTGGTGTCTTGACTTAGGCTGGCTCCTTGAAGATGGTTTCACTCAGGTGTCTTGTGCTTTGTGCTGTCTCTTGGCTAGGCCCTGTGCTTTCAACAGGCAAGCCTCATGCTCTTCACAAGGTAACGGTATTCTAAGAAATGAAATCCCTAAAAACAAATGCTTTTCAAAACTGTGTATCACATTTACTGATGTCCCATTGGGTAAAGCAAGTGAAAGTCGTTCTTTGGAGGGCCTAGGTGAAGGCATGGATACAGGGAGATGTGTCATTTAGAGCTATTTCTGAAAAAGTGTACTACAGTAGTACACATTATATGTACTTTTCTTGTACACAATTGTGGGTGAAAGTGTTGGGTTGCAGGATGCATACTTCCTACGGAATTTCGATGTACAAAAACTTTCTAGTGGAAAGAGTAATATGTAGTCCTCTGTGGCACATCTGTATTGACAGTAAAATAGTACCACAAAAGTATCTTTCTATAATGTAAATTTTAGTGACATATGTTTCTTTAGTGTACTTAAATTTAAGTTTAAATTATTTCTTCACAGTAACTTTTATTTTATTTTTTATTTTCTGACAGGCAGAGTGGACAGTGAGAGAGAGACAGAGAAAGGTCTTCCTTTGCCGTTGGTTCACCCTCCAATGGCCGCTGTGGCCTGCATGCTGCGGGCAGCGCACCGCACTGATCTGAAGCCAGGAGCCAGGTGCTTCTCCTGGTCTCCCATGCGGGTACAGGGCCACGGACTTGGGCCATCCTCCACTGCCTTCCCGGGCCACAGCAGAGAGCTGGACTGGAAGAGGAGCAACCGGGACAGAATCTGGCTCCCCAACCGGGACTAGAACCCGGTGTGCTGGCACCACAGGTGGAGGATTAACCTATTGAGCCACGGCACCGGCCCAGTAACTTTAATTTTAAAAAACTCAATAGCAAATAAATATTTTTCTTAGATTAATGATTCTACTTTATCTCTGCCAGTTGAGAGAATTGTGGATGCATTTTCAGTGAGGTCTTTCCTGTTTCTTCTCATTCTTCTACAGAGAGGCTTTGTTCTGTTCTGTTCTGTTTTGTTGTTACAATTATAGCTAGTTTCTATCATGATCTTGTTTTGCCCTAGGAACAAGCCACACCATTTCTCTCATGAGTCCCTCTATGCACCTTCTTTTCCAGGTCTGATTCTAGAATCTTCTACGTGGTTCCAAGAGCAAAGAAAATGAATACATCTCCAGTAAGTTGTTTATTTATTCCTCAGTTTGCTTTACATTTTATTTTAGATGTGTTATAAAGTCTCAATAATTAAAATGGAAAAGTAAAAATAAATAAAATTCATCCTTAGATGAATGTATACATAAACAGGGTAAAGTTAGCATGGTTAGAAGACATTAGAGCCATCTAAGTTGAGTGCAAATTGATCTCTGGAAAGACCAGAGTCACATTTATTAGGTGATTTAATTTGACCCTAAGAGGAGAGTCATGAGATATGAAGTCTGAAACAGTCTTTACTAGTAACATTGATGTAGTAGACAGTGTTTTTGTTTTGGAAATAAACCCTCAGATATCAGCATTCTTCAGTGGTAACAGTTACCTACACTAAAACACACATTAGTTACTAGTCTTTTTATGGAGTTGCCAAAATAGTGTGGTCCTGCATAACTTTTAGAAGACTGTAATTGATGCACAGATAGATTTGGGAATATCTAGCATATATTATCCACTGCAGGTCCTTAAAGAATTCTTCATACATTTCCCTCAGTCTATATATGCAGGTTATTATCACAGACTGTCCAAAGTTACACTTTCAGGCTAAGATGTCCTTTGCTCATGTGCACCTTAGCTCACTTGGTATAGTCTTAATTCAATTCTATAAAAGTTTAGCAATATCTTAAATTCTAGTAAAATCCAAAGACTGTTCTTTAGTCTGCTTTACTTGAGTCTTTTGCAGTATTTGAAACTGCTCTCCATGATCTCCTGGAAATTTTTCTCTGATTCATGACTTGAATGATGTTTTCTCCTCTCTTCCCTGAATCTCTCCACTTTGTTCTTCTAACATAACATCTAATGTCCCATCTGGTCCCCCCATTCATCTCCTTCTGAAGTTCTCTTTGACTGATCTGGTGCTCTGTGATCTAAAACTCCCCACGGTTTCTCTCCAGCCTGGATCACTTCCCCAGCCTTTATACCATAAATATGTTCATCTCTCTGTTGAATACTTCTTCATAGCTATCCAAAAGACACTTCAAGCCCAACAAATCCAAACTGAAAACCACATCTTTCATTCTTCCCTTAACATATGTGAATGTGTTACCAGCCAACCTTGACCCAAGCCATTGTAATGTGATTTTTCCTGGACTCTTGTTTTCTGTCTCTTAGGTTTAATTTTATCTGATGTCAAATCCTGTTACTCTTCTTTGTTTTCTATTTTTGTTCTGTTACTTACATGTAGTTTGTATAAAAGAGCAGAGCTCCTGGTGCTCAAAAACAAATGGAGTCCATTTTTTTTATACTGTAATTGTCACTCTTGGCAAAATCCATAGATATACTAGCCCAGTGATGAGTTTCTATCCTCCTGAGGTGGGCTAGCTGTCAGTAGGAGTCAGTGGGACTACTTGTATGTATGTAGCTCAAAAATGACTTGTCCTGTTTTCTGTTTTTTTTTTTAGCTTATTTTTTTGAAGATTTATTTATTTATTTGAGAGATTACACAGAGAGAAGAGAGGCAGAGAGAGAGAAAGAGAGAGAAAGAGAGAGAGGGAGAGAGGTCTTCCATCTGCTGGTTCACTCCTCAGTTGGCTGCAATGGCCGGAGCTGTGCCTATCCAAAGCCAGGAGCCAGGAGCTTCTTCCGGTCTCCCACGTGGGTGCAGGGACCCAAGAACTTGGCCCATCTTCTGCTGCTTTCCCAGGCCCTAGCAGAGAGCTGGATTGGAAGTGGAGCAGCTGGGTCTCAAACTGGTGCACATATGGGATGGTGGTTTTTCAGGCCGGGACGTTAACCCACTGTGCCACAGTGCCGGGCCTGACTTGTCCTGTTTTCAGTCTCTTTTAAAGATTGCATTGTTATTTCAGCTAATCAGTTAAACAATGAGTAGGGAAAATAGATATATGTATCAGTTATAGCTACAAGTATAGATTTGACCTGTGGTTAACAGTTGGTTTAAAACAAACTTTTTATTGTGATAAATATGTAGAACTTAAAAACTCTAATCCTTTTTAAAATGTAACATTCAGCAGCATTACATATATTCACATGACTTAAAACATCACCACTGGGGCCAGCACTGTGGCATACAGGGTGAAGCCACCACCTGCAGTGCTGGCATCCCACATGGGCACTGATTGAAGTCCCAGCCGCTCCACCTCCGTCCAGCTCTCTGCTGTGGCCTGGGAAAGCAGTAGAGGGTGGTCCAAGTCCTTGGGCCTCTGTACCCGTGTAGGACACCCAGAAGCTGCTCTTGGCTCCTGGCTTTGGATCGGCACAGCTCCAGCTGTTGCAGCCATTTAGGGAGTGAACCAGCAGATGGAAGACTTCTCTTTCTCTCACTGCCTCTGCTGCTCTCTAACTCTGCCTTATCAAATGAATGAATAAATCTTTAAAAAACAACAAAATCACCACCATTCATCTCCAGAATTTTTTTATTTTCCTCAGATGAAACCTTGTACACATCACATACTAAATTCCCATTCCACTCTACCACATACACTGTCAATCATTAATCTACTTTCTTTTAAAATCAATTAATTAATTATTTATTTTAATGTCCTTGTGAGAAACAGAGATAAGGAGATAACATCCATTCCCCATATACTTCTCAAATGCCCATAACAGCCAGAGCTGAGCCAGGCTGAAGCTAGGAGCCTAGAACTACATCTGAGTTTCCCATGTGGGTGAGAGGGCCTCAAATACTTGAGCCTTCATCCACTGTCTTCCTAGCCCATTAGCAAGAAGCTGGATTAGAACACAGAGGCAGCCCTGAATCCCAGGAACTCTGATGTAGGATGTGGGAGTCCCAAGTGGTGACATAACAAGCTGTGCCACAATACCTGCCACTGTTTTCTGTCTGTACGAATTTATCTATTCTAGAAACCTCATGTAAATGAATACATATAGTATTTGTCATTTTTTATTGACTTATTTCATGTAGCATAATGTGTTCAAGGCTCATCCATACTGTATCATTTGTTGAAATTTCCTCTTTTAAAGCTTAATAATGTTCCATGTATGTTGGTATGATTTGTCTTCAAAACTCATGTTAGGATTTAATTCTCACTGTGAAGTGTTAAGAGGGGGAAATGTAATCCAACTATGGTCTTTAGAGGGGAGTCTTTGGGAAATGATTAGAGTTTGATAAGGTCATCTGAGTGGAACCCCCACAGTTGGATACAGGTGACTATAAGAAAAGGAAGAGACCAGAGGACACACATGTGCTTTAATGACTAATTTTGAACATCCTTCCCTGCATGTATCAGCCTGTGCTCTGTCCCACCCATACTTCATAAAGCCCAGATTCTCTTTTTTATTTGCAAGAGGAGGGCCAACCCAGGCTGGGTATCTGTGTGCCTATTGGGAATATTTTATCCCATTCCTTTGGTTGTCTTTTTACTGGGTGCCAGCATGGTGGATTAATGGGTTAAGCCACCACCTGCGATGCTGGCATCCCGTATGAGGGCTGATTCGAGTCCCTGCTGTTCTACTTCTAATCTGGCTCCTTGCTAATGTGCCTGGGAAAGCAGCAGAAGATGGCCCACATACTTGGGCCCCTGCACCAATGTGGGAGACCTCGATGAAGTTCTTGGCTCCTGACTTCTGTTTGGCCCAGCCCTGGCTGTTGTGGACATTTGGGGAGTGAACCAGCATTTTCTGGTGGAAGATCTTTCTCTGTGTCTCTCTTCCTCTCTATCTCTCTCTCTGTAACTCTGCCTTCAAATAAATAAATAAATCTTTGAAACTGAAGTTTTATTTATTTGAACAACATTTACCAAGAGAAGACAGAAAGAGATCGTCCATCCTCTGATTACTCCCCAAATACTCATGACAGCTGAGTTTGTTGTTGATTTCTAATTGTAATTCTGTTGTGGTCAGAAAATACACTGTATGATTTCAGTCTTTTTTTCTTAAGCCAAATGATTTTTTTTAAAGATTTATTTATTTATTTGAAAGGCAGAGTTACAGAGAGGCAGAGGCAGAGAGAGAGAAAGAGGTCTTCCATCCACTGGTTCACTACCAAGGTGGCCACAACAGCCGGAGCTATGCTGATTCATAGCTGGGAGATAGGAGCTTCCTCTGGATCTCCCACATAGGTTCAGGGGCCCAAGGACCTGGGCCATCTTCCACTGTTTTCCCAGGCCCTAGCAGAAAGCTGGACTGGAAGTGGAACAGCCAGGACTTGAACCGGTGACCATATGGGATCCTGGCACTGCAGTTGGTGGCTTTATCCACTACGCCACAGCGTAGGCCCCACGATTTTAGTCTTCAGACTGTCTTATGGCTCAGCATATGTTCCTTCCTCATGAAGGTTACACAGAGTGCTTTGTAAATATCAGTAAGGTCAGTATATTCTCATTGATGTTTGTATTCTGACTGATTTGTTATGCTTTTTCCATCAATTATTGAAAGAAATATTATGCAACTTTAATTGTGGATTTTTTTTTGGATTTTCATTGAATTCTGTGGCTTTTTTATGTCATGTCCATTTATTATTACGAAAAGTCTCTCTATCTGTAGGTAATATATTTTGTGTTAAAGTTTATTTTGTCTGCTACCAAGACTTGACCATTTTTTTAAAAAATAATTTGAAGGTCAGGTGTTTGATGTATCAGTTAAGGCTCTATTTGGGATACCTACATCCCATATCAAAGGGCCTGGTTTTCATCCCAGCTCTGCCACTTCCAGTGCAGCTTTCTGCTAGTGTGCATCCTGTCGACACAGCAGGTGACAGCTGAAGTACTTGAGGCCTGCCACCTTTACGAAGACCCAGTTTGAGTTCTAGGCTCCTGGCTTTAGCCTGGCCCAGGCATTTGGGGAGTGAGCTTCCTGTTAACTGATTCACTCTCTAAATGCCTGCAATGGCTGGGTCTGTGCCAGACCAACTGGGAGTTGAGCATTCAATCCAGGTCTCCTCCATGGGCAGCAAAGATCCAAATACTTGAGCCACCATCTGGTACCTTCCAGAGTCTATATTAGCAGTAAGCCAGAATCAGGAACCAGAGCCAGAACTTGAATCCAGGCACT